CTCCTGTGAAGTTATCATGCCTCTCCTGTGATGTTTATCCATGCACCCACACTCCCCCAGCCCCCCCATCCTGTTGATGTTAACATGCACTCCAGTGATGTTACATGCCTCTCCTGTGATGTTATTATGCCTCTCCTGACGCTGATGATGGTTATTATGCCTCTCCTTGATGTTAATCAGCCTCTCTTCCCTGTGATGATATCAAGTCCTCTCCTGTTTATTTAACATGCCCGTCCTGTGATGTTATCATGCCTCTCCTGTCATGGTGTATCACGCCTCTCCTGTGATGTATATCATGCATGCCTCACCTGTGAATTATCACGCTTCTCCAGTGAATGTTATCATGCCTTCTACTGTGATGTTAACATGCCTCTCCTGTGATTTTATCATGCCTCTCCTGTGTGTTTATCATGCATGCCTCTCCTGTATGTGTATCATCCCTCACCTCTGATGTTATCATGAGCCTTTCCTCCTGATGTTTATCAATGCTCTCCTGTGATGTTATCACGCTCTTCCAGTGATGTTAGCATTCCTCTCCTGTGATGAATCATGCCTCTCCTGTGATTTATCATGCCTTCTCCTGTGGATGTATCATGCCTCTCCTGTGATGTTATCACGCCTCTCCTGTGATGTTATCATGCCTCTCCTGTGATGTTATCATGCCTCTCCTGTGATATTATCATGCCTCTCCTGTTGCTGTTATCAGCCTCTTCCTTGATGTATCATACTCACTCCTGTGATCTAACAAGCCTCTCCTGTGAGCAATCATGCCTCTCCTCATGAAGTTATCATGCCTCTCCTGTATGTATCATGCCTCTCTCTGATGTTATCATGCCTCTCCCTCTGATTGTTGCCATGCCCTCTCCTTTGAATGTTATCATGCCTCTCCTCTGATATTAACATGCCTCTCCTGTTGATGTATATCATGCCTCTCCTGTGATGTTATCATGCCTCCCTGTGATGGCTATCATGCCTTCTCCTGTGATGTTAACATGCCTCTCCTTTATGTTATCATGCCTCTCCTGTGATGTTATCATCCCCTCGCCTCTGAAGTTAACATGCCTCTCCTCTGATTTGTCATGCCGTCTCCTGTTATGTTATCATGCCTCTCCTGAGTGATATTTCATGCCTCTCCTGTGATGTTATCATGCCCCCTCCTGTGATGTATCATGCCTCTCCTGTGCTGTTATCATGCCTCTCCTGTGATGTTATATTCATGCTCACCTGTGATGTTATCATGCTCTCCTGTGATGTTACATGCCTCTCTCCTGTGAAGTTTATCATGCCTTCTCCTGTGATGTTCTCATTGCTCCTCCTGTGATTGTTATCATTCCTCTCCTGTGATGTTATCACGCCTCCCTTTGATGTTATCATGCCTACTCCCGTGATGTTATCACCTTCTCCCTGTGATGTTATCATGCCTCCCCTGTGTATGTTATCATGCCTCTCTTCCTGTGGATATTAGTCATGGCCTCTCCTGTGATGTTATCCATGCCTCATCCTGTGATGTTATCAACTCTACCTCTGATGTTATCATGCCTCTCCCTGTGATGTTATCATACCTCTCCTGTGATGTTATCACGCCTCTCCTGTGATGTTATCATGCCTCTCCTGTGATGTTATCATGCCTCTCCTGTGATGTTATCATGCCTCTCCTGTGATGTTATCATGCCTCTCCTGTGATTATCACGCCACTCCTGTGATGTTTTAATCATGCTCTCCCTGTGATGTTATCATGCCTCTCCTGTGATGTTATCATGCCTCTCCTGTGATGTTATCATGCCTCTCCTGTGATGCTATCATGCCTCTCCTGTGATGTTATCATGCCTCTCCTCTGATGTTATCATGCCTCTCCTGTGATGTTATCATGCCTCTCCTCTGATGTTATCATGCCTCTCCTCTGATGTTTGTCCATGCCTCTCCTGTGATGTTTACCAGCCTTCTCCTGTGATATATCATGCCTCTCTGTTGATGATATCATGCCTCCCTCTCTCTGTGTATCAGCCTCTCCACTGTGATGCTATCATTGCCTCTCCTGTGATGTTATCATGCCTCCCTATGATGTTTATCATGCCTCTCCTGTGATATTATCATGCCTCTCCTCTGATGTTATCATGCCTCTCCTCTGATGTTGTCATGCCTCTCCTGTGATGTTATCATGCCTCTCCTGTGATATTATCATGCCTCTCCTGTGATGTTATCATGCCCCTCCTGTGATGTTATCATAGCCTACTCGCGGATGTTTCATGACACTCCTGTGTGAAGTTATCTGCTCTCCTGTGATGTTATCATGCCTGCGTCCTGTGATGTTATCATGCTCTCACCTGATGTTTATCATGCTCTCCCTGATTGTACATGCCTCTCCTCTGATTGTTACATGCCTCTCCTTGATGTTTATAATACCTATCCTGTATGTTAATCATGGCCTCTCCTCTGATGTTATCATATGCCTCTCTCTCTGATGTTATCATGCCCCTCCTGTGATGTAATCATGCATCTCCTGTGATGTTATCCACGCCTCTCCCTGTGATTTATCATGCCTCTCCCTGTGTATGTTATCATGCCTCTCCAGTGATATTATCATGCCTCTTCTTGATGTTAACATGCCCTCTCCTGTGATGTTATCATGCCTCTCCTGTTAATGCTACAACATGCCTCTCCTGTGATGTTAATCATGCCTCTCCTCTGATGTTATCATGCCTCTCCTCTGATGTTGTCATGCCTCTCCTGTGATGTTATCATGCCTCTCCTGTGATATTATCATGCCTCTCCTGTGATGTTATCATGCCCCTCCTGTGATGTTATCATGCCTCTCCTGTGATGTTATCATGCCTCTCCTGTGATGTTATCATGCCTCTCCTGTGATGTTATCATGCCTCTCCGTGATGTTACCATTTGCCTCTCCTGTGAATGTTATCATGCCCCTCCGTGATGTTATCATGCCTCTCCTGTATGTTATCAACGCCTCTCCTGTGGATGTTATCAATGCCTTCTCCTGTGATGTTATCATGCCTCTCCTGTGATGTTATCATGCCTCTCCTGTGATGTTATCATGCCTCTCCTGTGATGTTATCATGCCTCTCCTGTGATGTTATCATGCCTCTCCTCTGATGTTATCATGCCTCTCCTCTGATGTTATCATGCCCTCTCCACTGATGTTACATTGCCTCTCCTTGATGTTATCATGTCCTCTCCTGATGATATTTCATGCCCCTCCAGTGATGTTACATGCCTCTCCTGTGATGTTATCTGCCTCGTCCTGTGATAGTTATCATACCTCACCTGTTATGATATCATGCCTCTCCTGTGATGTTATCATGCCCCTCCTGATGTTATCATGCCTCTCCTGTGATGTTATCATGCCTCTCCTGTGATGTTATCATGCCTCTCCTGTGATGTTATCATGCCTCTCCTGTGATGTTATCATGCCTCTCCTCTGATGTTATCATGCCTCTCCTCTGATGTTATCATGCCTCTCCTGTGATGTTATCATGCCTCTCCTGTGATGTTATCATGCCTCTCCTCTGATGTTATCATGTCTCTCCTGTGATGTTATCATGCCTCTCCTGTGATGTTATCATGCCTCTCCTGTGATGTTATCATGCCTCTCCTCTGATGTTATCATGCCTCTCCTGTGATGTTATCATGCCTCTCCTCTGATGTTATCATGCCTCTCCTCTGATGTTATCATGCCTCTCCTCTGATGTTATCATGCCTCTCCTGTTATTGTTATCATGCCTCTCCTCTGATGTTTATCATGCCTTCTCCTCTGCTGTTATCATTGCCTTTTCCCTTTTCCCCCCCTTTCCCCCCCCCTTTTTATGTTATCATGCCTCTCCTGTGGTGGTGTTATTCTTTTCTTCTGAGCTGCAGTTAGCAAATTTTGGTCAATGTTCATTCGAAGATTCTTTTACATAACTGTTTTTGTTAACTTTTACTTTGTCCCTGAGGGAAGTTAGTCTTGGAGCTCCTCTCACTGTCTCTACTGCATGTCTTTACTTTTGATACAGTTAGATTTGCTCTTGTTTTAGGGGGAGAATATATGAAAACTTCTCAAGTTTTCCATCAGCTTTTGTTTCAGCCTCCATGTTATTAGCTTCGTTATTTTGTTTCAGCCTCCATGTTATTAGCTTCGTTATTTTGTTTCAGCCTCTATGTTATTAGCTTCGTTATTTTGTTTCATCCTCCATGTTATTAGCTTCGTTAATTTGCCATTGTAGGTAGTCGTTGTGATTAGGTTATTGATATGCACCAGGAAGGGCATAGGACCTAGCAGTGAACCTTGTAGAACTCTCGTAGTTACACTCATCCAGATTCATGCTTCAATCCTCGTAGATACTCGACGTTTTCCATTGCTCAGGAACTTATATGTTCATTCTAATACCTCTCCTCTTTATTTCGGTTTGTTTCAGTATTCTGACAAGTCTTATCTATGGGGGGGGGTGGGGGGGGGGGGGGCGTCACGGTACAAAATGTTTTTCATAGAGTGGGACAAATGCAGGTCGTCTCTCTGTTTCTTTCGTGTCTGACTTATGTTATGTTTTTAAAATCTATCTCGAGAGACGTTAGCATTTTTAAGATGTTTGACAAGTGTTTTCAAGTGTGTGTGTTTGTGTGTGTTTGTGTGTGTGTGTGCGCGTGTGTGTGTGTGTGTGTTCGTTTGCATGTATTTTAGACAGTCATTATGTGTGTGAAGAACGCTCTGTGGCCACACCGCCTCATTCACATCGTAAAAAAGTTCCGTTAGCGCAGGTCTGCTTGACGACCTTGACTTGTAAATGTTTCTCACACTTTCCTTCCCTCCCATACATTATCCCCTGACACCTTCCCTTACCTACCTCCCTCACCCTCTCTCTCTCTTCTTCCCACACACACCCACTATACCCTACACACAGTCACACACACTTCTTGAAAGTAAACTGAGATTGTTGAGCTTCTTTCACGTAAACATTGCGAAGGAACGCAGCAGACATCAGTCATCACCAAAGGAGGATTTTTGTTTCTTTCTGGCCCCTCCCCCTTGAGGCTCCTCCCCTTCCGTCGAGCAGGTCGAAGGCGGCTTCGGGTATATAAGGCAGGTCTCCACCAGCTAAGGCATCGTCGTCGACGCCTCAACATACACACACACCAGACATGAAGCTCGTGAGTAAACATATGTCTTGGTCTTTCTATGTTTCTGCTGTCTCACCTCTACACACTTTCTCGAGGTGTAATCCTTTGTGCCCAGGACCTGAATGATTTTACCCGGTTAACGTAACAAGACTCTGCTTGGTAGAGCATTTTGTCAAATGTTTCAAAGACTGTCTTCAACGAGGAGAATATTTTTGAGAAATTACCTGGCAATACAATTTTCCGTCTGCAGGTAATTCTTGCCTGCCTGGCGGCCGTGGCCGTGGCTGCTCCTCAGCTTCAAGACAACCAGCCCGTGGTGGTGATCCTCAGAGACGACCGTCAAGACAACGGTGACGGCAATTTCAATTACGCCTTCGAAGCCGACAACGGCATTATAGCTGAAGCCTCCGGCAGCCCTGGTTCTCAGGGCCAGAGCAACATCCAGGGCGTGTACAGGTGAGGGATTACTTAACGTAGTGGTTATCTTTCACCCTTCCAATCTTTCTTAATCTCTTAATCTGTAATAATAATAATAATAATAATAATAATAATAATAATAATAATAATATTTCTATAAGAAAGATATTTGGCTGTTCCTTGATATTTGTAAAACCGATATTTGAAGAAAACTGGGATTTAACGTGCTGTTGCAGTGTAAATTTATTTAATGTGGAAAACACCTTTGAAGTGATTCAGAGAAACCAATAAGTCGCACAATAGTTATGAAGATAGGAAACGTAGAGTGCCTGCACTCTGAAGGATGGGTAGGGATATCTGAAGTTCATGGGAATCAACTGCGATGGTGACGCCTGTGTTCTTCAGGAAAGACTATAGACTGAATGATAGTGAAAGTGTTCTCGTTCTTGAGGTCTCTCTACCTTGCTGGGTAACTGCCCAGGTGTTAAAAATAATTCGTGTGATTGTTGTGATGGTGGCACCTAGGTCTGTCTCACTATTGTGTGTACACTCAATCTGGTCACAGACAGACAGACAGACAGACAGACACACACACACACCACACACACACACACACACACACACACACACACACACACACACACACACACACACACACACACACACACACACACACGCACACACACACACACACAGGACAGATGGATGGAAGCTGGGACTGTCTCCAGCGTCGAGCAATTCACTGAGTTGAACCCTCACAAACACAGCACGTTTACACTTCAATTTTGCTCGTCAAACCGTGACATTTATGCGCATCCCCCCCTCTCTCTCTCTCTCTCTCTCTCTCGCATAAAATTATCCCCTTTCTTTGCTCCTTCAGATTGACCTTCCCTGAGGGAGGCGTGGCTGAGGTCCGCTACATCGCTGACGAGAATGGCTTCCGCCCTGAGTCCGAAATCCTCCCCACGGCCCACCCACTCCCCGCCCACGCCCAGGAGCAGCTGCGCATCGCCGAGGAGCAGCGGGCCCAGGGCATAGAGTTCGACCAGAGAGGATTTAGAGTGAACAGAAAATAAAAAAAATGAAACTTACTGGAAGAACTACAGTTTCAGCTGCTCTGCCATCTGCCTCAGCCGCGACACTCAGGCACACACACCTTCCATAGTCTTGAAATCGAAAGCTCTTTCATATATAAATCACTGATATGCAACTAACGGGACATTTCACTGCTGCTACGTTTCGCTCTCCAGGAGCCTTGTCACAAATGCCAGTCCTGGAGAGCGAAACGTTTTCACAGCACGATGTCTCGTTAGTTGCTGATGTCCCCCATTACCCAAAACATAGTCGATAATTCCATCAGTATATCTGGAAATTGCAGTGGCATGAGGATAGTAGACTATCTTTTAGGATGGTAGACTATTTTGCAGGATGGTAGGCTGTCTTGTTGAATAGTAGACTGTCTTGTAAAATGGTAGACTATCTTGCAGGATGGTAGACTGTCTTGCAGAATGGTAGACTATCTTCCTAGACAGTAAACTGCTTCTCAAGATGGTAGACTGTCCTCCAAGACAGAAGACTATTTTTCAAGATGGCAGATTGTCTTCCAAGATGGCAGATTGTCTTCCAAGACGACTTAATCTCCCAAGATGACCTTTTTAAAATGGTGTTCTTTGCTTACATTAAGTTCCTAAAGAACGCGACTGTTTACTGTGTATTTTGATAATTAATAAAAATGATCAATTAAA